TGGACCCATGCATCTGTATGTCATTTATTTTTATTTCTGGATAATAGGCCATTGTATGAAGAGAAAATAATTTGTTCATTCTCCTGTGGATGTATGTCTCAGTTGTTTCCAGGTTTTTTGATAATACAAAAGTCTTATTATGAACATACTGGCCTATGTCTCTACATGCTCATGGTCAGAGTTTCATGGTCAAGAGGAGCATAGTTGGGGCTGGAGCCACTGAGCTGTAAGATGTGTCCATCTTTGATCTCACTGCTGAATTTTATTTATTCTCCTTTCAGTCTGTTGTTCAACAGTTTACCAGTCTGTGGTTCTATTGGCTTCTTTGTGATTGTAGAGGGGAGAAGGGTATAAGGGAACAAATGATAATGGGAAACAATATAATAAGAAATAAATTAAAAACTAATTAAAAAGTGGCTTTCTGCTTAAGAACGGCCTTTTTCTTTAGTGGTTTTCATTTTCTACATTTATTTATATTGTTATAATAATTATGGTACTTGCAGTGTTTGGGGGAGAGAACTTATATCTCACGACTAGCAAATAATTCGGTGTGCAGCTCTGCTTACCCTTTTGTGTCTTCTTTTTCCATCACTGTGAACCTTTCTCTTGCACTGGGCTAGAAGCATCCTGGTTTCCAGCTCCCACCTCAGTATGAACTTCTGAGTGTTACTTGCTGATGACGCCAAACAAAATATCACAGAGCAAGCATACATTGGCAGAAATGGTCATATTTAAGCAACAAAGGTCACTTTTTAAATTTAGCAAGAAGGAGGGAACTAATATTTGCTAATGACCTACTAAGGGCATGTCCTTGCCTGATGTTTTCACATGTCCTTTATGTTAACCCGCCAAACATTTTGTAGCATATTGCTTTTCTTTTTCTGTTGTATAGCTGGGGAATCAGGATTGTTAGAGAAATTGAACAAATCAACATCACAGAACAGACTTAGGATTTAAGTTCAGGTCTTTTGACTCTTGACTTGGTGTTCTAATCTATAGTACAGGAAGATAAATATGTATGTGCGTGAGTTCATATACAGATGCATACATATGGAACATGGCAATATTAAATAGCATTCAGTATTTGAAATACATTTTTATGTTACTTCTGAAGAAAGATATGGTAAATCATACAGCCTGTTGTGTATATTTTTTACATTTACATTAAGAATGCATTTCAATGTACCTTTCTTCATTTTGGAAGGAGTAAGCACATAAGAAATGAAGATTGCATTACTTCCCAGGTAGAGCATGTTCTCTTCCTGAACTCACAGTGGCATCTTGATTCTGTACTCCCTTCTCCTGTGTTCTCCCTGGCCGCCTCTGACAAGAGTGTGCAGCTCACCTGGCTGGTGAGGCTGTGGTCTGAGGCTGGGCCCAAGGACTCTCTCTGTCTTGTTTGGTCCATGATGCTTCTCCAGTAGTGGACAGCGGGGGAAGGAGAACGAAAATTGTCTGTCCCTGACTGGTCTTCTCCTTCTGCCCTGCGTGCTCCAGTTGATTAATACAGTGGTCAGAAAGAGCCTGGTAAACCAGAAGTCAGCCACGTTGCTGCTCTGTGTATAATGCTCACCTCCTTCAGCTTTTACTGAAATGTCTCCTTTCCATTGGGGCCTTCCCTGACCACCCTATCTAAAAGGGCAGTATTCCTGACCCTTCTCACTTCCTTTCTAGTTTTAATTTTCCCTTAGACTTACCACTAACATACCATTTATTCAACTTATATAGATCTTGCTGCTCTGTGTATAATGCTCACCTCCTTCAGCTTTTACTGAAATGTCTCCTTTCCATTGGGGCCTTCCCTGACCACCCTATCTAAAAGGGCAGTATTCCTGACCCTTCTCACTTCCTTTCTAGTTTTAATTTTCCCTTAGACTTACCACTAACGTACCATTTATTCAACTTATATAGATCTTGTGTCTTTTCTATTTCTCTTATTGTAATGCAAGCTCAGTGAGGGGTTGAATTATTGACCCTTCTTTGCTGCATTGTTCCCACAACTGGAATAGTTCTTGGCACATAGTAGGTGCTCAACAGGTATTTTTTGGATAAACAAAGGATTGAATAAATGAATATATGAGGAGGAGATTCCAGAGAATGTTCTGAGAATACTGCCACTGTTATTCGTGGGATCATCAAGAAGTACTATTTAATGGGAGAGGAGACAAGAGACCAGAGATAATCATTTTGTATCCAATCCTGAAACATAAGGGAAGAAAAGGCATTTTTACTGAGGAAAGAGGAGTTTATATGAGGTTTAATGAATACTTGTTGCATTAATGTTAAATGCTTGTATATAAAAGCACCTGTTATGGGCTGAATGTTTGTGTCCCGCTCACATTTTTATGTTGAGACCTAATCCCCAATGTAATGGTATTAGGGGGAGGAGGGTGCCTTTTGGCAGGTAATTATGTCACGAGGATAGAGACCTCAGGAATAAGATCAATGCCCTTCTAAAGGAGACCCCACAGAGCTTCCTCACTCCTACTACTTGAGGTTACAGAGGTCTGTTTATCAGGTAGAGGGTTTTCACCAGACTCCAAATCTGTCAGTGCTTTGGTCTTGGGCTTCCCAGTCTCCAGAGCTATGAGGGAGAAATTTCTGTTGTGTGTAAGCCATATAGTCTGTGGCATTTGTATTATAGCAGCCTGCATGGACTAAGGCAGGGACTATGGCCAGCAATTCTTTCCGAATCTGGCCTAGGTCTGTGATTTTAGCTTCCTGGGTCTTGCCCCTTCACCAAGTGCTGCAGTCAAATGGCTCCATTTTTCAGTCCTTGAACATGAGATCCCTCTCTTGTATCTGGAACTGGTCCAGATTCTCTCTCTCTCTCTCTCTCTGCTTCCACCCCTCTTCTTCCTCCCTCCCCTTCTCCCTCACTTCTTCCCTTTCTTAATCATTTATTAGTCAACTCCCATGGGCCAGGTGCTATGTTAGGTTCTGAGATTACAAAGATAAATAGGATTTTGGCCTTGTTATCAAGTTCCATGTGTTCTAGACCTAGTAGAGAGCTAGGACTCAAGTGAGTGGGACTATGGAAAAGAGAGCCACTGACTAATGTCTACAAGGCTCCCTGTATGCAGTAAAGATTGGGTGAGTTGGTGTTTGAGTCGGTGCTGAGGCTGTATGAAGCTTGGTTGTGGATCACGCCATTAAAAATGATTACATGTTTTCTAAAATACTGCAAACCATTTAGGATTTTGAATGTATCCTCTTCAGTATATAAGAGGCAAGCCCAAATCAGGACTCCTATGTGTCTTGGGAATTTGGAAAGGGCTGTAAAATGGTTATCAACTTAAAACCTATGATTCTGGGATTTAACGTTTTTTTTCTCAGTTCTTTCTTTGGAAATTACCATTTTAAAAAACCCCCAAACTAATCACAGAAAGAATATGGGATTGTACTTTCTCTGAAACTGGCATTAATGATGTTAAAACTTGGCTATTAGATTTTTCTTCTTACTTCTTCATGCCTGTTGCTGTTATAACCTTGTCATCTTTCTTACTTTTATTAGTTTACTGTTTTGTGCCCTAGTGCTAACTTCAGGCTAAGCTAAATGGCTTTCCTGCTTAGTTAGGCATAAAACACCATGAATATACTGGTGTGTGTATTTCACACATGCTGGGAGGTTGAGGGTTAGAAGATTAATTTCATTAAGCATTTTCTGTGAAAGAAAAATAATGTGGTAAAGGCCTTTTATTTAGGAAAATAAAGTAAGGGTTTTAATACTTTGATACATTAAATAAAAAGATATAGAGAAAATTAGATATTTTAAAGCTTAAAGTAATGAGAGTATCTATGTCTTTCTATTTGTTTTCACCTGGGATTATTTTTTCTATCAAGTTTTTCTGGCAAAGCGAAATTTTTTAGTAGTCTAAAGGACAGTAGTGCTTGAGAGAACCGAATATTCAACTACATATACAAAAACAGCCTTTCCATGCTCAACTAAGGACACTTAAAATTTATACTGAAAGTTATACTTACAGAATCGTATTTTTTATTAACTACACTAAATGTTAATTATTAATATTAGTTTTAATTTGAAAATGGTAACTATGAATGTAAAACAGGTTATCAAAAATGTGTTTTCATATTTCTTAGTATTTAGGCCTTTAAAGAAATAAGAATAGTCAGAGTGATATAAGCATCTCAGTCATTAACAAGCAGAATATTTAACTGGTGTGACAGTTATTATCATTATGCTAATAATAGGAGATGGGGCTCTAGTAAGATTAAGCATTAGCTATTCTGCTCCCTCGAGGGAACTGTAAAAGTCAGCTTCACTGTGTTGTAATTAGAAAAGAAATATATTTAAACACTGAAAAAAAGAAATCTTAGGTACCTCAGCACACAGTATGCTAAGGGCATGTGCTTAAAGCCTTTCAATCTCTCGATGTGGTCTATGTTATAAATACTTTCATAAGCATTTACATACTTGACATTTAGCAATATAGCAGTGTATAATCATATCCACATGCTTTTCTTTATGAACTAGAATGAAAACTTTGTAAGGACAGGGGTAGCTGTTGATGATTTTGTGTGTCTTTCTGCCCCATAGTGCAGTCCAGGTGCAAAATGATGGTTTGCCACTGACAAGATGGGCATCGGAGCAGTAGTACAACTATTGATGATAATAATAATAAATATTATGGAGCACTTAATTGCTTGCTATTGGCTAGGTGTGGGTATTAGTAGATTTGATCCTATCCTTAGGACCTATTAAATAGCATTATTTAAATATTGTTTTTTCTGCCATTTTATGGATGAGACCCTTGAGGCACAGAGTGGTTAAGTAACTTGCCTAAGATCACACAGTCAGTGGAGTTGCTGGAATGTAAACCAGGCAGTCTGGCTATGCCCCTGCCTCCCACTTTGCTACTCGTTGATAGAGCTGTGTCTGGAGGCATTGCTTCCAATTTCAGCAGCTTTTTAGGGATTTGTGATTCCTCTGTTTACTTTTCTTTTTTTCTTTTATTTCCCCTCACAACCCCCGCTGTTAGGTCAAGTACAAAAGAGATTTTGAAGAAAGCAAAGGGAGGGGCTTCAGCATCGTTACTGACACGCCTGAACTTCAGAGGCTGAAGAGGACTCAGGAACAAATCAGTAATGTAGGTGACTGTTTGTTCAGTGATGTGATGGTCCTAACTTGAGTTTCTGGATGAGAAAGTGAGATTGGGTGATTTGAAAGTGGTGTTGTTGCTTTGGTATGTAAGCAGTACTCGATGTACTCATAAAATATGCCAACTTCATCTGTGAAATTCCTTCTCTTTGATTTCATCACAGTTATCTAGAGCCTAACACTTCAATAGCAATGGCTGTATTTCAGAAGCTATTGTAATTTAACATCTTATGCCGTTTTGAATGGTTCTTAGCCTTGAATTCTTCCAAAAGAGGGCTTTCATCGTTAAGTTAAAAAACCTGAAAGGTTTTTTCCCTGTGGGTAAACATGCAAAACATATACATATAAGGTCAAGCATCTTGAGAAATTTCCTATTTGCTAATTATGTATATATAAGATTTCACACTTTAGATATTTGTAGAATAGAGTATTAAATTTAATTTTTAAAATAAACACTTACATATGAGGTTGCTTTGAATTTGAAAGCTGCGTCTTATTCAGTAATATATTTTTTGAAAAAGAAAATTGAGACTAACAAGTTCAAAGCATATTAGATACTGAAAAGTGTTAATTCAGTACTAAAGGCAGATAAACAGCTATTTTTACTTTTTGTAATTTGTGTTGTTATGTTTCTTCTGAAGAATTCTATAAAGTTTGGTAAAATGTATTTCATTCTGAAAAAAGTTAGTTCAATGCAAGGTATTCAACAGGCAATATGAATGAAAATCAACCACTGTGTACATTATATAAAAGTATGTGCAAATATGCATTTTTCATGAGAAATTTATTTAGTGTGTCACTGTAGAGTCACTAAATTTTGTGTATCTAAATGTTGTAAGTGATGTAGTCTTAATTTCCAGGAAATGTTTAATTAGCAAATGGTTTTAAACTCACTGATATTGGGCCATCATAATTATATGTAGAGTGACAATTTGCAGACAGAGTCATAGTATGTAATTTGAGAAAGAATTTTATTTGTCAAAGGGTCTGAAACAGATGATATTTAAAAAACATCTAGGGAGTGAGAGGAGGCAGAGTAAATACTGTTTGTTTGTTTGTTTGTTTTCCATATCCTCTAATGTTTACCCATTGTTTGCTCTTTAAATGGACATTTTATCTTAGTAAGGACTTTTTTCCTTTGAGGAGAAAAGGCTGAATTTTAAGGGTTCCTGCCTGTTGTTCCTTAGTTTTTTTGCTCTATCTCAACAACACTCCAAGTATGAGAACTGAAGATTGTGCCCCTCATCTGTCTTTTTCTTCATTCTTTCCTTAAATTAAAAACCTATTTTTGCTTTTAAGAATGCAAATTAAACATACTCATATATTTCACTGGAAGTTACATTTAGTAGTGTTTCTTTTTTTTTGTATTATTGTTGGGTAACTTTTATTAAAAACAAAAACAATGCTTCACAAAACAAAGCTATAAATCTTCAACTATCACAGAAATTTATTTCAAAAAAGAGCTAAACATTTCTGCTAAAGATATCCACGTGACAGCTAACATAAGGATTACAGTGGATTCAAAGGTAAGCCTTTTAATTTATATTCAAATTAACTCAATATTCATATTTAATAAGAAAAGAATTGATTATTTCACCAACCTTTATCGTTAGCAGGAATATACATTTTATTCAATACCAGAGACTGTTTGCAGATCCATTCTTCATTATGCAAAAAACCCTTATAACACAGGTATGTATAAACCTATATTTATTATATACATAACAGTATATAAAATACTATTTAGATTCAACCTATAATTTAGACAATGCTGATTTTTAAAAGCATATAATTTGGGTTTCTTAATATTTTCTTTGCAATTGTCTTGGTATTAGCAATCATAGCAGCCTTGCAAGTAGTACTTTTAGTATGATGAGGCATATTAATATTTGGATAGTAATAAAAAAATACAGATTTCCTAATATTACTGTTAGGGATTTACTCTTGAAGAAAGGAAGCTGTTAAGTATTCTGAGGTCTAGTGAATTTATTATTGATTTATAAGGCTGCAACTTTATGAACTTTTCCGTGACCTCATGGGGTTTTCCATATTATCCAAGGATCTTTTTTCTGTAAGAAACGTGGGTTAATCTGAAAGCTGGTATTTTGGCAAGTTCAGTTTTCCACATTACTTTCAGATAAACCCAAACACTGAACTATATTGGCCAAACCCAGACACAGATATTTTTGACAGTGGCCTGGACTGTGTCTGCTTTGAGATGAAGAAGGTGAGAAAATGTCCAGACTGGAAAGGCACCAGACTTTTTCTGCAGGAGATTCTGGGATGCTCATCCTGGAAACCGTAAAGGATATGAGATTTGAGCTCCACGTTTAATATAGGATGATGTTGGTGGGTGAATATAGCCAGGGTCTTTACAACCTTTATTTTTCCGATGCTTCATTTTCTTACTTGTTTTTACTTTATTTAACTTTGAATGTTGTCTGGATCTTTCTAAGCTCCCTTTAATTCCTTTTGGACTAAAGAAAGTATAAAGACATTAAAACAGGGGATTTAATGACAACTTATGTGTTTTGGTTAATATGTTATGGATGAATGGGCATTTTTGATTGCTTGTGTCTGTCAGTTATATGAATTTTTTTCTCACACTCCCATAATCATTTGTCTGGGATTTGAAATCATTTGGAAATGCCCACTCAGTCTGCATATGCTTGCGAGGTGTGGATAAAATACAGCTGTAAATTTGAAATTGTGTGTAATGAAAGGGGGAGGGTGGGTTTAGCCTTGACTTCCTTCTTTTGGGGTCTATAATGACAACATATTGAACCTGGGAGATTTATTAAATGCTGCGATTTAAAATTCTTCTGCTATGTTACTCACTTGGTGGAGCTGCAGAAAGAATAAGAAAAGAGGCCAGATTACAGAATGTGCTGAGTGGTTGGAAAGAAACAGAACTGATTGCCAAATAAATATTTTTTTTCCCATGAAATTCCAGAAGATGTCTTATTGCCTCCTCCCCTCTCTCCTCCCGGCCTAATTCTAGGGCATAAATTCACAAATGACAGAACTATCCTAGCACATCTCCACATTTTCTTTGCTTAGTGATATTTAAAAAAAAATTTTTTTTAAAGGATAACGTTGAAACATGAGTTGAGGAATTCCTGTGCATTTGCACATTTTTAAAAACTTTTTTTTTCCCTGTTGTCCTTAGAGCTCTCGCTTGTGTGGGTAATTGTAAAGGCTGTTTCTAATTCAGGTGATTACCTCCTTCACATTTATAAGTAGTTCATTCAGGGAACCAACAGCAGGAGAGCCAGGCAGAATCACCGCAGACATCCAAGGGACTCACCCAGCCTAGCAGAGGTTATTGATGGATTTCATTCTGCCTGCTTTCACGTTAATATAAACTGCATTTTCAATTAGTTGAGACAGTCTGTGGATAAATTGTGAAATGAAATGGTGAAGTCCAACTCCAAGAAGCTTTTTAAAATCTTTGTGCTGTAGATAAAATTTAGATGTTTATTTTCAAATTTATTTCAGGTGGCATAGAAACAATTTGTGAAGGGGAAAGGAAAAAACCCAGATGACAAAGCTTATGTCTTACATACTGACTGGAATGGTAAGTGTACCATGTGTGATTTGTCAAGATTTGTTCCTGTCCTCAACTCGCAGAGGAAAAATTGTGCATATCTGTGTGTGTGTGTGTGTGTGCGCACGCGCCTGTGTGTGTTAGCATCTGTGGGAATCTTTAGAGCCCCTTTTCTTAATCACTGACAACACAGACAATAGTATTTTAACCTGCTCTATATCCTTTCCCTTACTCCATCAGTATTTATAATTTTGGTTATCTCTCCTGTTTCCCAAATACCCCTTTTGCTACCATTTTCAATTTTGCATACTCATTCATAAGAAATGCTTACATAGTTTACCAAAAAAACAAAAAACAAAACCAAACCTAAGATCGATGTCTTTAAAAAATTATAGAAAAACAAGTGTCTCTTTAATTTGATATTGAAATGCAATTATTTTTAGTTTTTTGATGTGGCTACATAATTTTTCACTGACTTCTTAGAATGTAAAATAAATTATATGCCCATTAATAAGCTCAAGTGGATACTGTTGATTTAGTTCCCTGAGACTTTTAAGTTCAAAAATATTAGATTATTGGAGGTAAACCTGGCCTAATAATTGAATAGCAGTGTCTGTGGACTATTAAAAAATTTGATTCAAAGTTAGGTTGTGTGTAAGGGTGAGCTTGAAGGTGGGGATGATTATCTAGGGATCTGGTCTCTGTTTGTAATTTAAATAAATCATTTTGACAGAGACCGACCGCGGCCATGTTCAGGATGCTGACGGTGTGAAATTGAGTTGTATGGTGGACAGAAGACAAGCAGTCAAGAGCAATCCCCAAAGGCAAAATTTGTTATGTAATTGGGTCAACTCATGCATGAGAAATGCACGCTAATTATAAACTGGTGGCAAAATTAGAGTGTATGAAGCAATTAGGTCTTATATGAACCTGAACAACTGATGTAGGATTTTTTTTCTTTTAATATGCAGCAAACATACAAAAAGGTTCTTTTGTTAAGGGGAGAAAGGTAAAAGTTAGAAAGTCATTTAATGTTGAAATTTAAAAAATTATTTGTCAATTTTGATCCTTTATATAAAAAGCATAATAGTTTTATAACTCATGAAAAATTTATAGGAAATCTTCTAATTTTGAGTAGTAAAATCTAGTACATTAAGTAGTTTGAAAGGAGAATGGAATAGTGTTTTTGTTATAACTCATAACTGTCTTGATTAACATCAGTGGCTGGTGATGAGGCCAATGATTTAGATTTAAGCTCTTGAAATCTATTATTTTCACAGACAGAATTTATATGCTACTTTAATGGGTCATATGTTATCTCCAGCTTATCTCAACCAGTGACTCCGATGCATTCTCAGGTAATAGTGGGTCAGCATTATTTTATGTCAGAGAAAGTGATAGGGCAATAACATGTATTTTCCTCCTAATACCTAACACATGTATGAATGCTTTATTCATTTCAAAACACTTTGACATATCCAGTCTAATTAGAGCTTCTGAACAACCTCTCCTGAGGGAAAGCATTTCTATGAGGAATACGTATACTTTCTTGAGAAAAGTGTACGGAAAATTACCTCGTAGTCCTTTCTCATTTCCAAATCTGTGGTTTCCCTAACACCTGGTTTTGCTTTATTTTTCCACCTAGGGCAGAACTTCAAAGGTTGATCTCTTCTTTTTATCCTCAATTTTTTAGCCACAGTCAGTTAAAGAAACAAATACATCCCAGACCAGTAATTACTTGTGCATGGCAAGTACAAGAGTTGTGGTTATAAAATGGCATTGTCTGAAGGGGAGGCTTGGGAGGGACACCCGTAATCAAAGAATTAACATGTACGACTTCTTTTTGGAAACAAAGACTAAGGATCCAGAAAATGACTTCTGATGATCTGTCTCTTGCGCGGGCCCTTTCCCCCACTCTGTTCTTTTCAGTCCCACGGTGTTCAGGCCCTTATCTGCCTGAGTTGTTGCAGGAGGCTCCTAATTGGCCTTATCGCCTTCCAGCCCCTTTCTGCTCCTTCCATTGTATCTTAAACACTGTCACCATATGACTGTTTCCAAAATTTCTTTTTCATCAAAACCCTAATTATGATCCACTAAAAGTTTTTCCTTGGACCTTCACTTTGAGGAGGATAAAGCCTACCCTAAGCCCTTTAATTCTGACTCTAAGGACGCTCCACTATCTGCTCCTAAATTACTATTTTTCACCTCATCTTTCACTGCCCTTCAACACTATTCTTTCATTTGTTTTAGGCTTGGCCAACTTGCTCTGTTCTGGGCTTTCACATGAGTCATTCCTCTTGTTTGGAACGATCTTACTGTGTGTGAATGACATCCCCACCCCCTGATTCCAGACACACACTCAGAACCCAGCTACAGAGCCTCCCTGAATCACGGTAGTGCTTTGTATGATAGCACTTTTATCTGCGCCACTCATTTCACACATCAAGTCCACATTTTGGTTTCAATATTTTACGTGGTATGTGTTTAATCTCTCTAAATTCATGAAGATGAAGATTATTCATGTCTTTTTCAATTTATTTTTTTTGTTATATCCAAGAATGCGTATCATGGCATTTTGTACCTTACCCTTCTTGTCATGTCCTTAATTTAGGCCCTCTCTATCCCTTCCTTGGGTTGTGTGAATGTCTCTTGACTATTCTCACTTGCCAAGCACTGCCTCTTCTCCCTCCCAAGCTATTCTTCTCATGGTTTCTTGCAAGGTTCCTAAAACACACATCTAATCATGCCACTTTATCCTTAAAATCTCAATGGCCCCCCATTGCCTTTGGGATAAAATGCAAAACCATTAGCATGGAGTGCGAGGCTGTCCTGGGTTTAATCCAGCTGAGGTCTATAGCCTGGGTGTCTGTCTTGGACCTGAGCTCTATCCACTTCAAATTTCTGCTAGAAGGCCATCCCTACCTTCTCCATATCCATGCTCAGCTCAGAGGCTGCCTCCTCTTCCCTAGCCTTGCTCTTCCCCTCCTCAGCCTGGAGCCTGGTTCTATAGCTGCATTATGAGCTTTTTTCCTCCTAGACCGAACTCTATGAAGATTTGGGCTCTGTCTTTTTCTCTGTAACCCCATGGCCTAGCACAGAGCTAAAACTGATAAACAAATGAATTGACTTCTTGCGCCAGCAAATCTTCCCATGGCTTCTCCCTCTGCCCAAGCAAGGCTGCCAGCTCTGGGACTCACTCAAGACCAACCCTGATAAACACCTGTATTGATACTTTGAGGGGTGAATCACCCTCACATTGTGTGAATTTCACCTTATAATGGTGATTATTACAAGGAGTTTTAATCTCTCTAGATTTATTTAAATCAAACATCTGTTAAGACCTATGTAGAAATCACATGGATTTTCTTCCTTAACTCCCAGGTCTTTTCTTCATTCCATCATTCTCTAGCATGAAGGAGTTACCTAATAAATGATTGATTGAATTCTTTTAAGGATGTTATTTTTTTTTTTATTTTCTCAAGTTATTTTTCTTTCTTTTCTGGAAAAGTCTCCCTTTCCATCCATCTAAGTCTAGGCCAATAAAAATTTTCTTTGGATAAAGCCACAGTACAGTAGGGAACTAATCAATCCCTTCAACACAGAATTGCTAATACCTAGAATAATGCTTGACACATAGCAGGTACTCAGTAAATGTGTGCTGAGTAAATGAATGAGGCAATAATATTTAAAATATTGACTGATTTTACACATCCTTTGTCTTGAAACTTCTCTGTGCAAGAGAGTTAGCTTTTAAAATTATTTTGAACTTGTTATTTGTTTTGTGCTGCTTGATAAACACCTATTTTTCACTTTCTCCTATTTTTATTTCAATATTTCTGTAGTTTCATCAAAAGATTATACCAGTATTCTCTCAGTAAAGCAGGACCAATGGCTTTCTAAATGTGACTTCTAAAAATTACATTGTATTAGAAATGCAAGGATTGCCCCTGTTTTAAAATGTCAGAGCCAGGGAATTCATTTTAGTGTCTCAGGACCTGAGAAAAATGGGCTTGCATTAGTTTCCGCTGGCTGCCATAACAAAATACCACAGGCTGTGTGGCTTAAACAGCTGCAATTTATTTCCTCACAGTTCTAGAGGCTGGAAGTGCCAGCTCAAGTCAAGAAGGGTGGTCTCTGGTGAGAGCTCTCTTACTGGATTGCAGGGTCGCTTTCTTGCTGTGCCCTCACATGGCCTTTCCTGGATGCGTGTGCATGAGAGAAAGAGATCTCCAGTGTCTAGACACTAATTGAATAGGATCAGGGCCCCACCCTGATGACCTGACCCTGATGACCTCATTTAACCTTTATTACTTTCTTAACGGCTCTATCTCAAAATACTGTCATATGGGGGTTAGGGCTTCAAAATTTGAATTTGGGGTAGGGGGACATAATTCAGATCGTAACAGGACTAAAGGAGAAGTGATCTGCCTGTATCACAGGGTAATTTGGGGATAATGAAGTAACATGTGTTTTGTGACAGTGAGCTACTTTCATCAGCCAGTTTCTTTGGTGAAGGGGGATAATACCACCTGTTGTCATTCCAGGAAAACTTACACAATCAGTTTTTAATTTTTTCTAATTTCAAGCCAAACAATCTTAACTAAGAAAAAAAAATTTCTCCTAGGTCTTATTTCCAATAATCTTTATTGGCCCTTTCAAGCCTCTTTCTTGTTTTTTTTGAGCCATAGTCATTTATAGAAACAAAGATAAGTTAGGTAATAGTAATTATGTTTTTAAGTTTTCCAGGTCTCCACTGAGCTATGTAGGTCACTTATATATCCTGTGCAGTCAGTCAGGCTTGGACAGGTGTGAAGAAAAAGGAGGGAGGAAGTGTAACAATAGAAAAGAAATATTCCTAAGCCACAGGGGAAAATCTAATACATACTAGCTTAAAAAAAAAAAAAGCCTTAGTATCTGGTGCATTATACAGATTTAAAACTTAAAAAGTATCAGATTTTTCTATCAGATTTTAGTAATACCTTTTGGGACATACCTACAGAGAGTACATACTGAATGTTAAAGAAAAATCA